ACTCTTCCGCCTTGCAAACATTTCGCTCAACACTTCGCAAGCTTATACCCAAGGAAGCGTATGATCAACCAAATGCACAAAGCCTGGCGAAGACCTTACCGACAAATCGGCTGCGAAAAATTAGTGCTAAGAAGCAGCACGAAATTATACAACTTTCTGAAGTTATACTCAGTCACTGTGGCGATGTTTCCTTGTTACTTGACTTTGGTTCTGGCTTGGGATATCTCAGCGAGTCGTTGTGCCGCGTTAACCAAAACTGGTGTATTCTTGGATTGGAGGGCGATAGTTCTCGTGTAATTGCTGCACACAAACGTCTGCAAGTGCTGATGCCGGAAGCCGGGAAGCGTGTCACCTACAAGCAACAGTTCGTTGAAGCGAACGCCGGTGAAGCTATGAAGCATCACATAGCTTCTAGTGGATTCGAAGATTTGCAGACGTGGCTCGACAAATGGGCAATTATAGGCTTACATGCATGTGCTGATCTTAGCGTGACAGCAATAAAGTTATTTTTTGAATTGGCATCAGTTAAATGTTTGGTCATTATGCCCTGTTGCTATCACAAACTGCAACATACTCCGGATGGCAACTTCGTAAACTTTCCACTCAGTGCTGCCTTGAAAACAGCTGCCGCAGAGAAAGACTCCAAAATACAAAGTTATTTTAATCGACCATTTTTACGTCTAGCATGTCAAGAGACTAGTGCACGTTGGCGTAACTGCTCAGAGAAGGAGCACCTGGCGCATGGAAAACAAATGTTTTGGCGAGCTGTTGCTGATGCCATTATAGACAATGCAGCTGTTGTAAAATGTCAACAACCTGTTAAAAATTTGTGTCAAATAGAAAGTTTTGCANCACCTCGCTTTAAAATTTTGCTGTCTAATTACGAAAGCAAAAATCTCCTTTTCCGAGTAAATGTAGTAATTTCAAATTTGTGTAAAATTACACAAAAATTGAAGAAAAATTAAAATCACTCGTATTTAATTTATTTTCCCGAGATGTAGTATTCAAATATTAATTTACATATGTATGTATGTATATACATTAGGGTGGTACTTAAAACCCCAATTTTTTCAGTCTCACCCC